CAGGACCAGGACTTTTTCCAGTTTTCAGTGCATTAACTACTTTCTGCACTTCTAAGACATTAGTATTGTCAATTTCTATATCTCTTCCAATTTCTATTTCTTCTATTATATCTCCCCTTGAACAAGAATGTGAAGAAGGTAATAGCTTAGGGCTGCATCTTCCCTGACAGTTGCAAATGAGTTTGCTTGTGTAAGAAGAGCCTTACTCAAGCTCTATCAGTGGCACATGCGGCAAAAAGTTATATCACACTTTGCATTGATGTCAATTTTGCAATGTGAAAAAAATCTCCAGAGAAATTCAGGGTTTTCTCACATTATAACAGCTCAGTGCTTATCGACATTTTTGCCGAAATGTCATACACAAACGTGCTGTAGACCTCACAGGGAAAGGTTATTTTGGTGTGAAGTGAAAAAGGAATTAAGTTTGCTGTTGCTATCCTGATCACAACGAACATCAAGTTTAAAACAGATATTGAGACTTTGGGAAGACTGTTATTCTTTGTAGAAGAGTCCTTGCAGAAAACTGAACAGACACATACAGCATGTACAGTGTATTCACATTGGATAAGGTAAACGTAAAAAATGAACCATTGTCTGAATATGTAATTAAAGGGTCTGCTGATAAAATATTTATAATGATAATGATCATGTATGCATACTAATATCAATGTTTGTCATCAAGGGAATTGACCAAAACAATGGAAATCAAATATATGCCAGTATTTAACTACCCTTAAAAGTAACCTTTAAAAGTATCAATGCCATAGGAATACATGTTGTATCATCTTATTTGCAATCATATCCCATCTCTTTATTATTATAAGTAATTCCCAGTTAACTTTGGCCAACTTGCCTCAGATTTATCAAGTCCAGAGCGCTTGATGTTTATATGCTTTCAACAAAATTTGAATCTTGCCTGCATTGCTTTCAACAGGTGGGGGACAACCCGCTAAATTGGAAACTATTCCCCAAATGAGAAACAAATTGTCTCTTACATTGCATACACATATGTACATATATGACATATGTACCCAAGAAAAAAAACCAATGTAAAAGTTATAAGTCATCAACATTTCATTTTAACTTTCGATAATTAAATGTCGTAAGATTTTTTGTGAAAAGACCCGAAGTATATTTTACAATTAATAAGACAAAGAAAATAAATAAAATGAGATTTTGTGGGGTATAAAAGTCAGCATTTCAAAAAAGTTTCCCAAAATAAAGACATTGGTGATATATCCTTAGTATGTATAAAACATGTTTTTGGAAGATAAACAAAAATCCCAAAATTAACTTATTGCCTGAAATGATGTTTGACAATAGGTTGAATAATCATATTTCAGGAAATAAGCTTAATGCCTAGAAATTTCAGGCAATAACTTAATGCGTAGGCGCTAGCTTATTGCCTAGGATTTAAGCTTAATGCCTAATTTCACTTATTGCCGCTAACATATATAACAAAACATGATATGTGCATTTTTGGAAATATTTTATAAATTAAAAAGGAAAATGCATTGAATATGACAAAATGAATGTTTTTAACAAAATATTCAGAAATGTTTTATATTATTTTGACTAAATATCAACAAAATTTTGGATTGTTGGTATAATTCTGAAAAAAAGTAGAATAACACGGTTATAGTAGTCTCAGCTTAATTAAAAGATAATTAGTATAATTTAATGTATAGGCAAATCATATATATATAAGTCTAAAGATTTGCACAACGGTACTAATATAAAATGGTAATATACGAAGATGATGTTACGTATAAAATAGTGTTGACAAATATTTCGGCTTAACAAATAGCCTTCGTCAGTGTCAATAATTGTAACAATACTAATTGTATGTGTAAAAATAGCCCAATAATACAGGTAAGTTTTGGTCTATTGATCTAATCCCAAATCTTGAACATCATAATATAAAACAAAACTCGATATTCAATAGACGTGACTGTGTATATGTACACCCCAAAATGAGTGTGAATTAAAACTGCTAGTATTTCTTATTGATGCCGTTTGGATGATGTTCATTTAGTTCCTTTATCCAAATGCTTTCCCGAACCTGTCGCTGGGCATCACTCCAGTGAATGTTCTGTTCAATCACTAGGATTTTCATGCGGTTAAAGTCATCAAGTGTATGACCCGACTGTCTGAAATGCTGCGGACTAACTGGGAGAAATGGCTTCTTAGAGATACCACTCCTATGGCCATTTAGTCGTTTGTGGAAAGGCTGCTTTGACTCACCAACATATTGGAGGCCACAAACACGGCCGAACATTATAGAATGTAAATAACATTCATACTTTTGCAGGTTACATTGCAAAATATCCTATAGTTATTTTCGGTTGCCTTACTGTGAAAAGTTGATGAGTGATGCATCTGTAGGCAGCATTTGCAGCGTTTTTCATCACACGAACGACATTCTCCAGAAGTACTTCTATGATCAGACACTTCAGCCCGCACCAGCAGGTTCCGCAGACTATTGGGTTGCCTAAAAGCTATCACGGGGGGTTCGGGAAAAATCTTGGATAATTTGGAATGCTTTTCAACTGTTTTCCAATGCTCTCGAATGACACCGAAGCTGTTTTTGAGAGATGGATGGTAAGTAAGAACGCATGGAGTCCTTTTATTTTTATTTTTATCTTTGTATTCTAACAGTTTACTCCATGGAATAGTTTCCGCTCTCTGAAAACTTTTTTGAGTAGTTCTGTGTTTATAGCCCCTTCTCTTCAGCGGGTTTCGAGTTGAATCAGTCGTTTTTTAGTTGTTTCTGTGTTGGAACATATTCGCTTGTCTCTGAGTGCCTGACTGTAAGGGATGCTCTTAGTACACCGAGCAGGATGGCAACTTTTAGGGGACAGATATTGGTGAGTATCAGTATGCTTAGAATATAGGTCTGTGGATATAATGCCATCTGTAAGGGAGCTGGAAGTATTGAGGAAGGTGATTTTGGATTTAGATCTCTCATGAGTAAATTTGATACTATGATGTATGTTGTTGGCATGAGTGATGAATGTATCTAAATCCTCGTCACTTTTATTCCATTTCATATCCACATCATCTCTAAATCTAAACCAGGAAAGCGGTTTTTCGATTGAAGATTCAAGGAGTTGTTTTTCTAATTTGCCCATAAATATATTGGCATATGATGGAGCACTTTTGGTACCCATAGCAGTTCCATTAACTTGTAGATAATGATCTCCATCAAAGGTGAAGTTTTTGTTCTTAAGTACCAGCGTGAGCATTTTGACCAGGCATTCAGTAGGTGCACGGATATTTTACAGGTCGGGAATCCCAAACTTCTTTACATGCATCAATGCCATCTGCATGTGGAATATTCGTGTAGAGGGAGGTGACGTTCATAGAGACAAGTGTCGTGTCGGAGGGAAGTCGATTTAAGGCCTGAATTTTTCTAAGACAATCGGTCAGCCGTATATCACCTTCACTGGTGATCCAATGGATGGATCGGTCGTAGACTGCCTAGACTTGTCACTTGTTTAGACGTACTTATATATATTAAATGGATCTTATTTGTAAAAAAAATATTTGATGACTGTGTCTATACATATGTATGGGAAACACAAAGTTTTGCTAACAAGGCATAGTTGAAGGCCGTCATTAAACAGAGACTCATAGACCAGTTTCTTCAAAAATGGATATAGGCTATAAGAAACTCTTCAAAAGCAATTATAATTTTTTTTAAGACAAACTTGGAATTTGAGGAATACCTCAATATTCTAGATTTTACAAATGCTGTCATTTTCTGCGAGTCGATTAGGGCGTTAGCCTAAATTGTGTATCTAATTTACACCAAGATATTATTGTCCATGCAGAATGATGGTTTTCAATAATTTAGGAGGGGGGATCTTTCAGAGGATTGACCACATGTTATTGATAAGCATGATAAATGCGGGGTATCATTTAACGACATATTGGAATAAATACAGAACAACAAATACAAAATTGCCAATTGAATTAGGAAGATGGCAAAACAGAGACAATTTAAATTTTGTAGTTTATGCATGCATTAACAGACAAGTTGGTGATGAGTACCACTATATTTTTGAATGCAAGTTTTTTTTATCTGAGAAGCCTATAACGTCACAGTTACCAAATTGCATCGAATACCCAAATTGCTCCCATTTAGCAAAAATAGCAGCTGAAATCTTACAAGTTTTCTTAGAGACTAGACAATTCGTATTTGTTATGCCGTTAAACTTTGTATAAGTACGCATTTCACAGACAGAGACATAATGCAATTAAATTCCAAGAACTATAATGTCCAGTAATTGCAGAGAAGTTTTAAAGAAATTTTGCACGTGTATAAAATACCTATATACTTGTGTTTGTCCTCCTGACTTGTGACTTTTACATAGTTTATATTTTCTGTATGTTTTCTATTTACCCTCATATTTACCATTGTTAGTTTTATATGTATGTTTAGTTCGTTTATTGTAAATTGTGTGTATTTCTTTTTTTTTAATGTTATTGTATCTCTGTATATTGTATCTCTGTACCGATTTTATGGAAAAAAAAGTTTGGAAAAAAATAAGTTATTTCTTAAATTTCGAATTTTTAGTGACTTCAAGTAATTTGTTTTTGCCGGCCAAGTCACAATTAAGTTCCTTTCATGCGACAGCCATATTTGAATACAATAAAAGAAATCACCCGATACAAGCTGGTCAACATATTTTATCGATGGCTTTCAATTTGCTTTTTTATCTATCCTTGTCCAAATACACATAAAAAATTAGAAAAACAATAAGGTCTTTCCTAACGTATTGGAAAGACCTTAAGACTAAATGAAGTTACTTTGTAAAATTGGGGCGAAACGATCCAATGCGAAGGGGAATGGGACGAAACAACCCAGATTCTATAGAACAAAATTATTTTTTTTAAATATTTTTCTACAGGTTTTATAATTGAATGAGACAAAATATTGTAATAAAAAGGCGTGTCATTGTCCGATGTACCGCTGTCCCACTTAAAATAAACAGGAAGTCTCGCTCTAAGTCTCGTATGCGTGACGTGTCTTTTTGACCCGAGGACTAAAGCTGAAACCGGCTTTCCTCAATTTTGAAATAGATTTTGTTGAAACGGCATTGATATAACTGGTAAAAGATCATTAAAGAAAAATGGGAAGTAAGTTATCACTTTTCTAGTCATACTTTTCGTTTCCATTCTGTAAAAGCCTGTATGATACCTGAAAACAACATTGAAGTTATCGTAATTGTGTATACGTGGCGATCACAAACATATTATATTCTCAGCTTCGATTCGTAATCCTTTAAATTTTCAAAACTGTGTAAGATAATAAGTTGAACGGAGATGACTAGGTTGCTATTAGACCCAGTTCAGTATGTATGGCATTTTATTTTAAGGTGTATTGTAGATTTGGTAGATTAATTTAATTTAGGAAAAAGGCATTTGGGCAATATTGACACAGGGAGAAATTATGATTTCTTGAAAGATTGAAATGCAAAAGTGTTATGAATGTGATGAAATCATATTAGAATTGTAGGAATCATAGACAGCATTTGATAAACATATAAAATGCAATTACCAGGTCATGAAAATGATGGATGATTGCATCAGAAACATATGGTAGAAAGAGGTACAGATAATCATATTTTTTTACAAAATTGTCAAAAATGTACTTCAATTTTTAACTGCATTAAACATGTTAAAGCAGATGCATTAATGGAATATGAATTAGTTACAAGTGTAGTAGACAAATCGAAGCAAATAAATTTTCAAAGACCCACTAGATCTGAAAGCCCTAAGATTTATTGGGCCCTTAAACTTAAGTGCCCAGGCTAGATTATTATTTCAGGATTCAGAATACCTACATTTTGGGGGCTCCAAATCATTCTAGAATAATAAAACTGGTTGGGTAATTTTTTATCTACATGAATAAACAGAAATTGATTAATCTGCAATGTATATGAATATACAATAATTTGGACTGTTTGTCAATAAGATTGGTTAAAACCCACTAACAATACCAAGAAATGTTCAACATACATTTGTACATGTAGTGTTCAACAGTAATCAATTGTCTTCACATTTTAATGATGAGGTCTAAATTCCATGTGTCTAAGATGAGTGTAATTATTTAAAACAGTGACTTCGACTATTAAAGATTTTCCATCTACAGCAAAATTTGTAATAAAACAATTCTCTTTATATTCTAAGTCATACAATGTACAACAGATGAGGTCCTGAACTTGGGACTGTAACATAATCATGTGGCAATGTTAAACTAGTTTTGTGTTTACTCAACTATCACATATGATCTCTCCCTATTATCAGGATTATAATATGCTGTAAAGGGATAAATTTGAGCCTGATGTAAAGTTTGATCAAAAATTATTTTGTTGTGAAAAAAATTATAAGACAACTTTAGATGTATCTTTGGCAAATAATAATAATTAGAAGAGAAAAGTTGAATATAAACATTGCAAATTCATATGAAAATTTCAGTCTTTTTTGTATGGCTTATGAGGAAAACCCCGAAATAAAATAATAAAAACAGTGCCATTAAAAACTGGATTATTGATAAACAATATAAACTTGTCTGGCACAATTTAATACTACAGCTCATGTAGATTTGTTGTTTCCATGTGTCCACAATGGGAGTTCCCCGGAGTGGGCAAAACTTCTAAGATGGTCCTCTGTAGCAACCTGTTCGAATAAACATACACCTGTCTTACCATTTCTTTTATTTCATCATCAGAAGTTGAACAAACATCCTTTACAAAAATATGTACATTTACCAGTGTTTGTAGTCAATTAAAAAAAAAATTGAAATAAATTTTGAGTTGGCAAGAGAGGACTGTCCACACAGGGGAAGTTGAAATGATAAAATTAACATGAACTGTGATGTAGCTCTAGTTAGGCATTCACTTCATTTGCATTTCCAAGAATTGAAATTAGAAGCCTACATGTATAATAATGGGGAAAAAATGAAAGTTTCTGAATACTGTAGTACTTAAAATAACATATTGTAGAAACATCTATGTGAGGTGCCAATAAAAATGTTACTTTTTCAAAGACATCATTTAAAAAGTTACAATTATTTTTCTTCTTTTTATCACATGTAATCCATGCGATATGACCACACTTCACCATTTATGATTTTATTTTGTTTTCTTTTTTCAGTAAAATTCCTTGAATTTGTGAAGCCATTTTGTGCAGTTCTTCCTGAGATAGCTAAACCTGATAGAAAGGTGAGGAATAATTGTTACATACCATTGTTAGACATCATGTGTCATAACAGTATTAATTGTTTTTGATAATTAATAAATGAACCATGTCACTAATTAACAATGATTTAGCCACATGAACAATACAAGTGATTTCATTTCTGTCCAGTTCCAATAGTAAGTTATCTCTTATCAAGAAATTTTAAATATGTTTGACAATCATGAAATTAGAAATGGGTATCATTTTTCTAGGAGGTGCACTTCTCCATTTTTCATATGTTTGTTTTTGAGAGTAAAGTTTGAGGTTGTTCACTAGTTAAAGGTAGTTTTATTATTAAAATGAAATGAAAAAATGTGAGCACAACAATAACAACAAAATATGAACTTCATGCTACGGGTATGTTAAATAATGTGAAACACTTTGTTATTTTGTTGATATGTAAGCATTTAATGAACACACTGCCATCTTCAACAATGGGTAATACTTAAAACCTTAGTATTGAAATATTATTCTATTATTGCACATGTGACTTTTTTACTTCTTGTTATTTTTTTCTTCTATTATTGACATTTCCTCAAATGCGATTAATCAAAAATTGACACTCCATCAATTTCAAAGTATTGCCTCAAAACAAACAATTACCCTGTACTTATAACCCTAAGGTTGTATTCAACCACAGGAACATAACAAGACAGGAAGAAGAATGGAGTACATATGCATTGTTTCGAAAGTGACCTGGGGTTATTTCTGTATAATACACATTGGTATTAAAATATATGTACCTCCAATATTACCAGTATAATAGGGCTGGGGAGAAGTAGTGGAACTGTACACTGATCTGGTTTTGTTGTCTGGTCTTATTTTAAATACACAACCTAGTTCAGTGTCCTAGCTAGCTCCGAATCCAGCATTATTATATTAATTTACTCAATTATTTCAATTTTGTTTATTAACATGATCAAGCTGTCATTTATCAAGCAAGAAACCTTGCTAACTTCATCTGAAAACTGCCTTTCTGCCATAAAATCCTAGCTAACACTGAAGTATTCTTAGTATCATATTTCAAACTGAAATTATATAAAATGTGAGTCTACTTATAACCTGTTTATGTAGTTGCATGCATATAATTACACAGGCCAGGATTGGGCAATATGTTCTAATATATTTGGTGGATAGTTGTCTCATCGACAATCATACCATATCTCCTTATTTTTATATGACCGCAAAAAATTTTTTGGGATCGTATAATGGTATGATGTCTGCGTCGTCGTCCGAAGACACATTGGTTTCCGGACAATAACTTTAGTTTAAGTTAATGGATCTCTATGAAATTTTTTAAGAAGGTTCAATACCACAAAAGGAAAGTTGGGATTGATTTTGGGGATGATGGTCCCAACCGGTTAGGAATTAGGGGTCCAAAAGGGGCCCAAAACAAAAATTTTTCTAGTTTCAGGATAATAACTTGTGTATAAGTATTTCGATTGCTCTGAAATTGTACAACAATGTTTAATACCACAAGTAGAAGGTTGGGATTCATATAAGGGGTTATGGGGTAAACAGTTTAGGAATTAAAGGCCTAAAAGGGGCCAAAAACAAGCGTTTTTCTAGTTTCCGGACAATAACTTGTGTGTAAGTGTATGGATCTCTCTGATATTGTACCATAAGGTTCCATATCACAAAGGGAGGGCTGGGATTGAGTTTGGAGGTAATTGCCTCAAACATGTAGGAATTAGGGGCCAAAAATTGTAATACAAATGTAGATAATTCAGTTCTTTGAATATATACACCACTTAGATCATCCATCATTTAAAAAAAAGTTATGATTCTAATAAATTAAGATTTGTTTATTGTTTTCCCAGTAAATAGAATTATATAAACTAAACTGGAAAAATGCACCAAATCATTGAACCAGTACTTGAAATACTTTTCCCTTTACAAAAAAATCAAATCAGGTGAAATAAAACTGCTCTTCTACTTTCACACAAAACTTGTATCAAACCAGAATATCTTTAATGATTTATGATAATTATAATAACAACAAATATCAATTAACTTTTTAGATCCAGTTCAGAGAGAAAGTATTATGGACTGCCATCACATTATTTATCTTCTTGGTGTGTTGTCAGGTAAGTTAAATATCCATAAGGAATAAGTTAAAGCCAAGTTAGGTTGACTGTGTTTATCATCTACAATGTACACAACACTCATGACTGATCTAATCATTATCACATTTCTCGTATGTCTATATTTTCTTATTTCATGTTAAAGGTGTTTCTGCTACATATATTTGTTTAATGCTAAAATTGGAAGTTAAAAGTAAACTGATTGGAAATTTATACAGTTAAAACTTAATCTTATACATGTATGATATAATAATGTTATGTGCATGGTGGCATAAATTTGAACATAAACAAGTTTTTGTATAGCACACATCATACATTCTAAATAAATACTTTGCAATTGGTTGACTGAAGTTCACTGATAATGTTTCAATTGTTTAACATAAGTCTTCCATATTTTCAAGTTGTTCAATGATATTGACTCTCAAACTGGTTTTTTTTTTACATTTTCATTTATCATTTATATTGTTCATTATCAACCTTGTAACCATTCTACTTCCATTAATATTTACATGGAAATGCATTTTTTGTTTATTGTTCAAAATGAGGAGTTTATTCTTAATTGCTGTAGTTAATCAACTCGATTTTTATGATTCCCTATGGTATTGCACAATTGTCAATGATCATATTGTCAGTAAATTATAACTTGGAATTGAAATATTGATATATAATTTACAGATTCCGTTATTTGGAATAATGTCATCAGACTCAGCAGATCCCTTTTACTGGCAGAGAGTTATCTTAGCTTCTAACAGAGGTATGGTTGGCATTTATAGACTGCAGAAGATAATAATGAAAAATAAGTTAAAAAAAATTTAATAATTCCAATTTCTGATACCAAAGAACATAACTAACTCTGTTGTAACATTTTCTGAAAATTATGAAAAATAAGACTTGTATTATAGAACATGTAGAATGAAAATTTATTATCAATTTTGGTGTTATGTTGTATGTTGTAACAAAGAACAAGTCATAATTACATCCAGCAGGGGAAAATTTAGACAAATTTCTGGAAAATCTGATGTGATGACACTGAGGCTTCTGTTGGTTTTATTTTTTTTTAAGTAAAGAGGATATTAAAGTATATAGGATATAGAGTCATAAGAATTTTGCAAGTATTTGTTGCAGTTTACGTGCTTTTGACTAAACCACATTCATAATGCCTCATAATAGAATACCAATGTCATTGAAGTAAGAGAAATCACACAAAATGCTTTTATTTTCAGGTACTCTCATGGAACTGGGTATCTCTCCAATTGTAACATCAGGTCTTATAATGCAGCTGTTAGCGGGGGCTAAAATCATTGAAGTTGGAGATACCCCAAAAGACAGAGCTCTCTTCAATGGGGCACAAAAATGTAAGTAACATACTATTTAGAAACCAAAAATGTTTTTCATACCGACATATTTTTGTTAAATAAAATGGATCATGTCATTCGTGGTTGTATTATATACATGTAAAATGGAGGTTACTTAAAAATATTGAGTACCTTTATTCGGTTTCTACAAAAATTTGTGTGTTTCCCTATTAAAAAATAACTTTTTATATTCGAAAAATTTTACGCATGACATCCGACAAATTTCAAATGCAATGCTGATATTGACAACAACTCTGATAAACTACAAATAATATTTGTCTTCTGTTTCTCTCCGCTGATAATGTGTACTTTTTAAGTTATAACTAAACTATAACTAAAACTACTTTTCTTTGTTTTGATAGTATTTGGAATGGTGATAACAATAGGTCAGGCCATTGTTTATGTGATGACTGGAATGTATGGTGACCCATCAGACATGGGAGCTGGTGTTTGTCTTATCATCATAATACAGGTACGGTATTTATTAAATTGGTTGTTATACAAATGTAACATTTCTTTAAAAAAATACTTTTGTTGCAGAAGGACTTATGATTTTTATTAGAAATTAGGAGTTCATAATGAAATTTAGATGGTATTTAGATAAAACTGTAAGCTAATTTTTTTGTTTGACAGATGGTCAAAGTAAACTTAAAGGTGGAAACATGATTAAATGAAGCTGTTTTCCATTTTCTTATCAAGCACAAGTTAATCAAATGAATTTAAATCACTGCTTTCTTTATTTCAGTTGTTTGTAGCTGGCTTGATAGTCCTTCTGTTAGATGAATTGTTACAGAAGGGCTATGGTTTAGGATCTGGTATTTCACTTTTCATAGCCACAAATATTTGTGAAACAATTGTTTGGAAGGCGTTTAGTCCTGCGACAGTAAATACAGGAAGAGGTAAGTCCTATACTATTTAATTATAGTAGTATGTATGAAACTAAAATGGATTGAGATTATACCAACTATTTATGTTTCAATGTTTATTAGCTCACCGGGGCCCAAAGGGCCCCATGTGAGCTTATGCCATCACTTGGCGTCCGTCGTCGTCTGTCGTCGTAAACTATTTCAAAAATCTTTTTCTCTGAAACTACTGGGCCAAATACCTTCAAACTTTAACTAAATGTTCCTTAGGGTATCTAGTTTATAAATTGTATCCAAAGTTTTGATCCATCGACAAACATGGCCGCCATGGCTAAAAATAGAACATGGGTCAAATGCAGTTTTTGGCTTATATCTCAAAAACAAAAGCTTTTAGAGCAAATGTGACGAGGTAAAATTGTTTAATTGGTCAAGATCTATTGGCCCTGAAATTTTCAAACGAATCAAACAACCCATTGTTGGGTTGCTGCCACTGAATTGGTAGTTTTAACAAAATTTTGCAGTTTTTATACGACCGCAAAAAAATTTTTGTGGTCGTATATTGGTATGACGTCGGCGTCGTCGTCGTCCGAAGACACATTAGTTTTCGCACTCTAACTTTAGTTTAAGTGAATGGATCTCTAATAAATTTTACCACAAGGTTCAATACCACAAAAGGAAGGTTGGGATTGATTTTGGGGTTTATGGTACCAACAGTAAAGGAATTAGGGGCCAAAAATAAGCATTTTTGTAACTTCCAGACATAACTTGTGTGTTAGTGTATGGATCTCTCTGACATTGTACCACAAGGTTCCATATCACAAAACGAATGCTGGGATTGATTTTGGGGGTAATTGCCTCAAAATTTTAGGAATTAGGGGCCAAAAAAGGGGCAAAAAACAAGCATTTTTCTAGTTTCATGACAATAACTTGTGTGTAAGTGTATGGATCTTTCTGAAATTGTACTACAAGGTTCCATATCACAAAGGGAAAGCTGGGTTTGAGTTTGGGGGTAATTGCCGAAACGTTAAGGAATTTGGGGCCAAAAAGGGGCCAAAAATAAGCATTTTTCTAGTTTCCAGACAATAACTTGTGTTCAAGTGTATGGATCTCTCTGAAATTGTAGTGCAAGGTACCATACCACAAAGGGAAGGCTGGGATTGAGTTTGGGGGTGATGAATCATAAGGGGGTTCAAAAATTTGGGGGGGGGATTTTTTTTTTTTTTCCTTTTTTTTCTTTTTTTCCTTTTTTTTTCTTTTGACTTTTTCCATTTTAAGTTGGTTATTTCTGATTTATATTTAAAAGCAAATAATAATGATATGGTAGGAGATACACACCAAACAGGATGTGTAAATTATTATATAATAAGTACATGTATTGTGCAAATGCAAGAAATTTTCAATTGCACAGTATTGCACAATAGCAAGAAATCTTCAATTGCACAGTATTGCGCAATAGCAAGAAATCTTCAATTGCACAGTATTGCGCAATAGCAAGTATTTTCCAATAGCACAATATTGCGCAATAGCAAGAAATTGTCAATTGTACAGTATTGCGCAATAGCAAGAAATATTTAATTGCACAGTATTGTGCAAAAGAAGATACTTCGTATAAATTGCTTATTTCTTGACCAATTTCAATGGGGTTTTATTCTTGAATTCTTGGGGTTCTTTAATATGCTGAATCTAACTGTGTATTTAGTTTTTGGATTTTGGGCCCCATTTTTAAATTGGTCCACATTGAGGTCCAAAGGGTCCAAAATTAAACTTTGTTTGATTTCATCAAAAATTGAATTATTGGGGTTCTTTGATATGCTGAATCTAACTGTGTATTTAGATTCTTAATTTTTGGTTCCGTTTTCAAATTGGTCTACATGCAGGTCCAAAGGGTCCAAAATTAAACTTAAGTTTGATTTTAACAAAAATTGAATTCTTAGGGTTCTTTGATATGCTGAATCTAAACATGTATTTAGATTTTTGATTATGGGTCCAATTTTAAAGTTGGTCCAAATCGGGGTCCAAAATTAAACTTTGTTTGATTTCAACAAAAATTGAATATATGGGGTTCTTTGATATGCTGAATCTAACCATGTATTTAGATTTTTGATTTTTGGGCCCCATTATCAACTTTGTCCACATTGAGGTCAAAAGGGTCCAAAATTAAACTTTGTTTGATTTCATCAAAAATTGAATTCTTAGGGTTCTTTGATATGCTGAATCTAACCATGTATTTAGATTTTGGATATTGGACCATAATAGGTGAATGTCCAATTTAAAATTTTTAAGTTCTTAGACCACATTCATTCTGTGTCAGAAACCTATGCTGTGTCAAATATTTAATCACAATCCAAATGCAAAGCTGTATCAAGCTTGAATGTTGTGTCCATACTTGCCCCAACTGTTCAGGGTTCGACCTCTGCGGTCGTATCAAGCTGCGCCCTGCAGAGCATTTTATTTGTTATTATTTTGAATATTATTATAGATATATATAAATTGTAAGCAGCAATAATGTTCAGCAAAGTAAGATCTACAAAAAAGTTAATACGACCATAATTGTCAATTGACCCCTTAAGGAGTTATTGCCCTTTAAAGACAATTTTACACAATTTGTTCATCAAGTTTGCGAACATTTAAAAATCTTCTCCTCTGAAACTACTGGGCCAATTACCTTCAAACTTTCACTAAATGTTTCTTAGGGTATCTTGTTTATAAATTGTATCCGAAGTTTGTATCCATCGACAAACATGGCTGCCATGGCTAAAAATAGAACATAAGGGTCAAATGCAGTTTTTGGCTTATATCTCAAAAACTAAATCTTTTAGAGCAAATGTGACATGGGGTAAAATTGTTTAATTGGTCAAGATCTATCGGCCCTGAAATTATCAGACGAATCGAACAACCCATTGTTGGGTTGCTGCCACCGAATTGGTAGTTTTATCAAAATTTTGCAGTTTTGATTTGTTATTATTTGGAATATTATTATAGATATATATAAACTGTAAGCAGCAATAATGTTCAGCAAAGTAAGATCTACAAAAAAGTAAATATGACCAAAATTGTCAATTGACCCCTTAAGGAGTTATTGTCCTTTAAAGACAATTTTACACTATTTGTTCATCAAGTTTGCTAACATTTAAAAATCTTCTCCTCTGAAATACAGGTGAGCGATTCAGGCTCTTGAGAGCCTCTTGTTTAAGATAATCATGGTATTTATTTTAACATGGTGCAGTGTAAAGAAGTAACAAAGACCTGTTGCAGTCTGGATCATATATGGAGAATAAAAGCATCTCTTTAAAGAGGGTTGAAAAATTGTTTTGCATATTATGTTATGGTTCATAAGTAATTTTTTAAGGTACTACAGGTAGTTTTACATTAATTTTTTTTATAATTCAACAGGTACAGAGTTTGAAGGAGCTATTATAGCACTGTTCCATTTAATTGCTACCAAGAATGATAAAGTCAGAGCATTGCGTGAGGCTTTCTACAGACAAAATCTTCCAAACTTGATGAATTTGTTGGCAACAGTTTTGGTGTTTGCTATAGTAATATATTTCCAGGTAAATTAATCATTTATTTAGAAGTGAACATACACAAAGAAAACCCAAAATGAAAACATAAATCTTGGACTGGATGTTATTACAAAAGTTCTGTATATGAGGAAACTTATTTTGATTGTTTTATAATTTGTCAAATACACATTTGTTAAATAACTTAATATTTTTTAATAATATAGAACTGGAGAGTATTGATACCCCAGAGAGTTCATACACACAATTTTTCTCTGATTACAAATTTTAAGAAAAATATTTGTTCGTCTTGAAACTTAGTGATACTACAAAATCTCACTTCAAAAGTGAGAAAATATTTGTAACTGTCTTGATTGTCTAAAGTATAGAGCCATTGCTTTATATATTTCTGCTGTTGTTAACAATATGTATCTTTTTCAGGGATTCCGTGTGGATTTACCTATCAAATCAGCTCGTTACAGAGGACAATACAGTTCTTACCCAATCAAACTGTTTTACACATCCAACATTCCAATTATCTTACAGTCTGCCCTAGTGTCAAATCTTTACGTCATTTCTCAGGTAATTTGCTATTCAGTTTGATATATTTAGCAAAGTTAACAGAAAATGTATCGGTATTTCATTCAGGCTTACTGGGTTTTGAGCAGTCTTTAAACAGTTTAATTTTGCACCCAAATGTACAAAGATAAAAAAATCCAATTATTAGTGATAATTCAATCTGTCTTAATTTTATATATAGCGTGCTGTTTATACATTGGTGAATCTCTGATATGATTTTATTATTAAGACAATAAGCTCTCCTCTATAGTTTAACTTAGTTAATACACTTAATTTTGATATGTAATCCTCAGGCTATACAGATGTACATTGAAATAAAGGATATCATTTATTATTTTGTAGATGTTGGCAACGAAATTCAGTGGAAACTTTTTCATCAACTTGTTAGGAGTCTGGGCTGTAAGTATTAAAATTGTTTTATCAGACTACACAATTCATTATCATGCTTTTCACATTTACATTTATGATACCAATTTTCTTTTACAAGAATTATTCAATCTTACTTGAATGTTTCAAAGGCACACAACATATTTGAAAAAAAATGAAATTGGAAGAATATTTATAATCAATGATTTTTAAAATCATTATTAAATATATTAAACACTATGCTGGATATTTAATGTTCTCGTAAGATATAAGGGTCTGCAAGGCATGAAATGCTACCTTGACACATTATTCTGACTCCATACAGGCCAGTTTTTTTTCTGAATTGTGAAAGCTATATATTGATCATAGAAACTGCCAGTACTAAGAGACCAGCTGGATTTGAATCTAGTACCAATGACGCTATAGAGTAACACCACCTTGACAAAAAATGATCTAAGACATACACAATATAAAAATTTTGACAGGTCTTTTTGTGTTTTTTTGCTGTGCACCTACTGATTTAGTGTCATGGATGGATACCCCATTTCCTTTCTTTTTCTATTGACAGTTTCCGACATGTCATTTTCTTTGTTGATGAATTATTGATCATGTTTTGTAGGATGTTGGAGGTGGTGGACCTGCCAGATCTTACCCTGTTGGAGGATTATGTTACTATCTCTCACCACCAGAAACATTACAACATGTTGGAGAAGATCCTGTACACGCTGTACTCTACATTTTCTTCATGTTGGGATCATGTGCTTTCTTCTCTAAGACATGGATTGATGTATCAGGATCTAGTGCTAAAGATGTAAGTATCAAACATAAGTTGTCTTATATTTGTTTAAGAGTTGTTGGTCTGTTGGGGAAATTAGCATTTTTTGTAACTTTTAAGAAAAAGGACCTTCAAGTTAAACTAAAATATACAACAGATGTTATTTTTTAAGACCTGTAGTAAAGACCAGTTAAATAAAATGTTATTTCAATAAGATATCCAAAAAAGTTACACAAACTGTATAAAAATAACTATCCTTGTCACAAAACTTGCCTGATAAAAAAATAAATAGGATATATTGATTTACATTTCCTTGATCCATATATCAGATTTTTCGAATGTTTGTTGTGTACAAACGTTCATATATAAAACCTTGTCTTCATACTGTCCTTTTTATAGCATAACACCATGCATAAATTTGTTTATTTCAAAGTGTCTCATAAAAAAGAATAAAAAAATCCTTTTCATTTCACAATAGTAACATGCAACCTACAGTATCTTAAACACTATCATTTAAACTGTACAGTAAATAGTCCAGTGCAGTAAAATTCTAAAATCAAATATTCAAAATATTTGGCTGAAAAAAAAGTCACATTGGGCTCCATGATTCAATGCTGATGAGAAATCATACAAAACAATATATGAAATGTGTGAAAAACAGATGAAATTTTTTTTTTCCATTACATTAAATTCATGATTTTATTTGTTGATTACAGGTTGCTAAACAATTAAAGGAACAACAGATGGTAATGAGAGGTCATAGAGAACAATCTATGATACATGAATTAAATAGATATATTCCAACTGCTGCTGCATTTGGTGGTCTCTGTATAGGTGCCTTGTCTGTCATGGCAGACTTTATGGGTAAGTAGAATAACTCAGTGCAACAACTTAAAAATACTTTCAGAGGATAAGAATGTCAGGGATTTAAATGTTGTGATAAATTGGCCAGTCAAAAATTTTAATCAAATCAGAGTAGCAAAATTGATGTTCACAAAGAATTTATGTTAAGACCTATTCAATTGATTGAATTAAGGCATATTTGCTGCAAAAAATATTTTGACTTAATAGAATGGAGAAAAACAAGCATATGCTCAACATCATAATTCTGGTTGACATCTCAGCATTGTAACAAAAAGCACAACAAATTCAGTCTGATAACCTCATCACCTTGATTGGTAAATAACTTTTCCCCTGATGTCTGCCACAACAATATTGATGTAAGATGCACACCAATGACATAGCCAAGAATGCAGACAGTGGCTTAAAATTAAAAAAAATATTCACCCAAGAGACAACAGTAACAACCCAAGTTTACCGGGGGAAATTATCCCCCATAAAGACATCTTGGTCACCATATGATCATGAGAGGGGTGCTTCATCTGTATACTAAGCTCTTAAATGTACTGGAGATTATACAAGTTTTAAATGAATTTGACAGAGATGGCTTTAAATCAAACACAAGATTCTGTAAATAGACAAAATCATAATGCATAAGCAACTGCCATGTCTTTAAGTGTTTTTTATTTTATTACTAAGTATTATTTTTTTTTCTTTATAGGTGCTGTTGGTAGTGGTACTGGAATTTTATTAGCTGTTACAATTATTTATCAATATTTTGAAATATTTGTTAAAGAACAGAGTGAAATGGGAGGAATGAGCACATTACTGTTTTAAATTTAAAGACAATATCATCGTTCATGTACATAGTTTTATACATGTCGTCGTTGTATACAATATTCACAAGACTAGTCGTGATCTGATATTGACATTTTGAAATAAACATGTAGAAATTTACATTAGATAAGTAATCATCTCACATGAAATTTGACATATGCAGTATTGAGATTTTTCACCCACCAGCATTGTTGCCAGTTAAAAGTCATTACTGAAGTGTTATGATACATTGCTTAGCTTCTTCTAAAGTGAGATATAATGTTATTGTCATAATTTATTATTATTAAAAAGTTAATGTGAGCTGAGATTTGTTTACTAAAATTTGTTGACAAATTTTAACAATGAAGCAGATGTTAAAAGAACATTTCCAGCATCAAAGTCTCTATATCGGATGTTATGTAAATGTGAAACATGCTAAGAGGATGAGAGGTGAATGGTTGTGGTACATATCTTTAGCAATTGTTCTCAAACAGCTAATAAATTCTTAAACCAATTTATCATATATCTGTTGTTTCTACAAAATATAATGAATGCCTGTCCGATGTTGAATTTTCTTCCTTTGAAAGTAAATACTCTCAGAAAAAAATTTCAGAGACATATAGATGTTTCTCTATCCATCTGAAACTAATGCTTTCTGTATGAAGTGTGGAGTTTTCCTTGTTTAAGGTAGCACAATACAAAGATTTTTTCACCCCCAATCAGACAACTTTAAACTGATGTAATTTCTTTCATCCAGCTTTAAATTTTATAAATGAGGTACCAAAAGAAAGAAGAAAGAATAATCTTTCAAATGGTGAAAACGTCAATTTGACATAATTATTACATAATTAATTATTATGTAATTAGTTGCTATATTGAGATGTCCACACTTGAATGAAAATAGCTTCTTTGTTATTCATAGCATCCCAAAATATTTTATAGATTCTTGTATAACACAGTTTGACCTCCAAAAGGGTGTCTCAGATTTTTCCTATTGTATTTCATTCTCTCATAAACCTTCAATGAAGTTTGCAACCTAAATTCATAAGAGATCACTAAATTTAATTGGGTATAAAATTTGTTCTATTGATATTTTTGGAAATCTGAGACACCCTTTTGAAGATAACTGTTCAAGGAACAACATGTGTGAAAATCAGACATATAGGGGCACTCATCTAGGAGCTAAATTCATTTAAAACTACATTTTCATCAAAATGAATGTGTCACAATTGAATAAATAAGGATTTTCCTACTTGTACCCCATTAACTTTAATATAATTCACACATGTACCATTGGGATATTTCAGGATTGGCCTTCAATCATAAATCAATTAGGTTTTGACCAGTAAGAAAGCATTCAACTTCAGCAATTCTAAATATATAGAGAAAATGCACACCCTATGCATCAAAAACCAGATCTGGCGGGAGATGTTATATCATTATTGACCTTGTTGTAAGTCAGTTGCTACTGATATGGTCAAAACTCCGCCCACCATGATAAACCTTTACTACTAATGATCTCAGAAGTTTAATTACACATTACATTTACTTTTTATACGTAATATTGGTATGACGTTGGCGTCGTCGTCGTCGTCGTCCGGCGTCGTCGTCGTCATCCGAATACACATTGGTTTTCGCACTCTAACTTTAGTTTAAGTGAATGGATCTTTTTGAAATTTTACCATAAGGTTAAATACCAACAGTTAAGGAATTAGGGGCCAAAAAGGGGCCAAAAATAAGCATTTTCTAGTTTCCAGACAATAACTGTGGAACGGTGTATGGATCTCTCTGAAATTATACTACAAGTTTCCATACCACAAAGGGATGGTTAGGATTTGCTTTGGAGGGTTATGGCTCAAACCGTTTAGGAATTAGGGGCAAAAAAGGGGGAAAAACAAGGTTGTCCTGGTTAATGGACAAATACTTTAGTACAAAACATAATTTAAAGCAGTGTAAGGGAGATAAATCAAATTCATCATTGAAATTATCTCCCTTACACTGCTTTTAAATTATGTATAAAGTAATGGTTAATGAACAATAAAGATAATTTAAAACAGTGTAAGGGAGGTAATCCAAATACAACGTTTTGGTTACTTCCCTTACACTGCTTTTAAATTATGTTTAAAGAAATGCATATTTATAAAGGAAGACTAGTAAAAATATCTGCAAATGTTGCATCATTTTTTTTTACAAAAAAATCCATATGAAAGATTTGACACTATATTTTTAATTCTATTATAAAATAGATTAAGTTAGCACTATGGTAAATTTAAATGGGTAAATATGGTTGCCAACTCCATTGGAAATTTGAATTGAGATTATGACCATATCTTGAGGGAAAGAATTTTTTTGGGGAAAAAAGGGGAGGGGGGATAAAAAGAAATTGTGGGGGTCAATTTTTTCTCATTTCAGATTTCAGAAATTAAAAAGAATTATTCTTCAAATATTATTTTTTTTTCAAATTTCAAATATTGAAAAATTTCAAGAAGTAATCTTTAATTGCACAGTATGGCGCATTAGATTTGTAAAATCTTTGATCACATTTATTTATTTGTTATGCCGAATCTAACAGTGTATTTAGATTTTTAATTTTGGGTCCAGTTTTCAAAATAGTCTACATTAAGGTCCAAAGGGTCCAAAATTAAACTTTGTTTGATTTTAGCAAAAATTGAATATATGAGGTTCTTTGATATGCTGAATCTAAACATGTATTTAGATTTTTGATTTTTGGCCCATTTTTCAAGTTGGTCCAAATTGGGGTCCAAAATTAAACTTAGTTTGATTTTAACAAAAATTGAATTCTTGGGGTTCTTTGATATGCTGAATCTAAACATGTGTTTAGATTTTTGATTATGGGCCCAGTTTTCAAGTTGGTCCAAGATAGGGTCCAGTATTTAAACTTTGTTTGATTTCAACAAAAATTGAATATATGGGGTTCTTTGATATGCTGAATCTAAACATGTATTTAGATTTTTGATTATAGGCCCAGTTTTCAAGTTGGTCCAAATTGGGGTCCAAAATTAAACTTTGTTTGATTTCAACAAAAATTGAATATATGAGGTTCTTTGATATGCTGAATCTAACCATGTATTTAGATTTTTTATTTGTAGGCCCCGCTATCAAATTGGTTCATATTGAGGTCAAAAGGGTCCAAAATTAAACTTTGTTTGATTTCATCAAAAATTGAATTATTGGGGTTCTTTGATATGCCAAATCTAACCGTGTTTTTAGATGTTTAATTTGGGTCCTGTTTTTTAAATTGGTCTTCATTGAGGTCCAAAGGGTCCAAAATTGAACTTAGTTTGATTTTAACAAAAATTGAATTCTTGGGGTTCTTTGATATGCTGAATCTAACCATGAATTTAGATTTTTTATTTGTGGGCCCCGCTATCAAATTGGTTCATATTGAGGTCAAAAGGGTCCAAAATTAAACTTTGTTTGATTTCATCAAAAATTGAATTATTGGGGTTCTTTGATATTCCAAATCTAACCGTGTATTTAGATTTTTAATTTTAAGTCCCGTTTTTTAAATTGGTCTACATTAAGGTCCATAGGGTCCAAAATTTAACTTAGTTTAATTTTAGCAAAAATTGAATTCTTGGGGTTCTTTGATATGCTGAATCTAAACATGTGTTTAGATTTTTGATTATGGGCCCAGTTTTCAAGTTTGTCCAAGTTGGGGTCCAAAATTAAACTTTGTTTGATTTTAACAAAAATTGAATATATGGGGTTCTTTTATATGCTGAATCTAACCATGTATTTTGATTTTGGACATTGGACCATAATAGGTAAATTAAAAAAAATTCAAGTTCTTAGACCACATTCTTTCTGTGTCAGAAACCTATGCTGTGTCAAATATTTAATAACAATCCAAATTCAGAGCTGTATCAAGCTTGAATGTTGTGTCCATACTTGCCCCAACTGTTCAGGGTTCGACCTCTGCGGTCGTATCAAGCTGCGCCCCAGCGAAGCATTTTATTTCAATATGGATTTTATTCATTTAGTACATAACATAATATATTTTGTTTTTTGATTGTTACAAAAAGTAAGTTATGCATGTGTACACAAAATGATCAGTTGGTCAGTTTAGGGGATCCTTATGGGGATTTTTAGAATTGTCATTGTATACAAGGACAATATGGTGTTTTACACAAAGTAGATTTTGTTCAATTTTGCAGTTGGAAAATGAAATATTTAATTTGTATTTTCTTTTAAAAAGAATTCACATCTAAACATTCTCCCCCAAGAAATTCCAGTACATTAATTGTTATACAATTACATTTGTTTAATTTCTGTACATTTATATTTTGATTCCCTCTATATCTCCAAATTGTTACTTTGTTTTTTTCTCCTAGCAGTTCCATTAGTGAAATGTATTTTTATTTGGAATTCATTATCTTCATTTTTCCATTAATCACTAATCCACCTCTTTTTCGTAACTGTTATTTGTATTGCTGGTCAGTGGTCATAAAGCTATCAAATGATTCTATTGATTAACCACAAAGTACTGCCCACATGTTCTTATCTTGTATCAGTCAGACACGTGCATTTGTTTATAAAGCTAATTATCATCAAAACTCATTAACAGTTCAAGATATGTAAATGAATTTTTCTTCTGTGGTTTTGGAATATTAAGAAGTAACAAAAACAGCTGAAAATGAAATTTTGATAAAATTTAGTTGCTTTTGTATTGTGCTACCTTAATTAAAATGAATCTTATATCGAGGAAGATATAGAAAGAGAAGAAGCATAATGATTTTGAGATAAAAGTTCATGGTTTACACATGAAATTTATATAGATGGAAGATTATAAGAAAGGGAACGAACCCTATCAGTTTTTGTGCTAATGGTAAAGGTCATAGCACCTAAATATAGACTGAACATAAAGAAACATAAGGTGTAATTTGCTAAAACATAAGGTGTAATTTGTTGATTACTTGAGGAACAATGGTTGGATTTTAATAAAAAAAACTTGTACAAGTGGTAGATAGTAGGAAAGGGACAAAGCCTCTTTGATTTTAATTTCGCATCAATATTAGCTCAACTGACCTGAAGCTTTCATATTTTCATGGTTTTGGCCATTTAGCACATGCTTTAAGCAATAGACCAGCTGTATTCCAAGATGTACATGTCTGTCTTGCAGGTTTCATCTGACCTTAACCTTTTTCAGGCTCACTGGCCTAAAAGGTCTGAGCTTTTGCCATCACTTTGCGTCCCATTTTGGAGTGATTATCATTAAAGTAGAGAGAAATTGTAAATAGCAAGATGTTTAGCACAATAAGATCTACAAATTAGTCAACATGGCTGATATTGTCAACTAACTCCTTTAGGAAATATTGTCCTTGAAAGATGATTTTTTTTCTATTTGTGCTGTTTTTGCACAAACTAAAAGACAGTGAGAAACAGTAAAAAAGCAGGTCTGTTCTACATACCAGTCATCATGACTGAAACAGTCAACAGACTCATAGACGTTATTTCCCCTGAACATGCTGAATGATGATTTTTATCCATTTT